CACACACACACACACACACACACACACACACAAATAAATAAATTAAAAAAAAAAAAAGAACATGTGTGTTAAATCACATGGCATTATGTCGCAGATGGCTTTGGTTCTGTTCATTTTTCTTCTGTCTTGTCCTTCTTTTGTTTTTCGAGAGGGGTGATCTTTATTGTTCTGTCTTCAGACTCACCAAGTCTTTTGTCTGCTACTGAACCCGTCTGGTGAGTTCTTCCTCTCAGTTGTACTTTTGAGCCCTATATAAATTCTTTTTCATAATTTTGGTTTCTCTGCTTCAATTTACAAGCCTCATGTATACATTCCTTTAATTCTTTGACCGTGCTTACAGTCCCTGCTTCCCCCCAACCACAGCAGGGTCTCGCTGTGGAGTTCAGGCTGGTCTTGAACTTACTCATGTAGCCCAGGCTGACCTGAGGCTCACAGCGATTCTCCTGCCTCAGCCTTCTGAGTCCCGGGATGGTCTCGGGCGTGCGCTGCCGTGCCTGGCCGCAGCACTGCCTGCCTTTAAGTCTTTGTAAGCAGTGGACCGACATGTGTGTCACCTCAGAGTCAATTTCTTGTTATTTTATTTTATTTTATTTCTGTATTTTATTAGGGAAGGGTCTACAGGGTGTTCAGGGTCTCACTACTAGATCGGACTCGTAGTGATCCGCCTGTTTACAGCCTCCCAAGAGCTCGGATTACAGGCGCACGCCACCACGCCCAGTCTCAATTTCTTGTTTTTTAATTGTTGAAGAGCTTGCACTTTTGTTGTAAGATTAAAAAGTAATGATTACGTATAGTTCCAATTCTTATGTTTATAGCATTCCAGGCATAGAATTCATTTATTTTTTTCCATAATTTTATTGAGAAACAAATAGCAATGAGACAGTTTCAAATCGAATTGGTAGGGCAGTTCCAATAATTAACACATTGCATACTCTCTTCCTACTGGTTATTTGCTGTACAAGATGCAGACATGATATCCTATTTACAAACACTGTTAGAACAAATCCCTCTATTCATTAAAAAAATGTAACTATATATCTGTCCTAACTATTTTGAATACACAGATACAAAATGGACATTCATCTGTATCCCCTTTTTTGTTTAGTTCCGTTATTTGAATATGTGTTAACTCAGCAAAATATTCTAAAAGAGGGGCTGGTGAGATGGCTCAGTGGTCTAAAGCACCTACTTAGAACAAGCTTAGCAAAACACAGGGACCGCGGTTCAATCCCCCAGCACCACATGCCAGCCAGCCCCACCCGCTGGTGGGCTGAGTGGGCCATACACACACACACACACACACACACACACACACACACATAAATAAATAAATTTAAAAAAATATTCTAAAAGAGTCCAGTGGTCCATAATAGTATTGGGTCTTTGGCTTCACTGGCAATGTCAGAAATTGTTGACCTGAGTCCCCTACAGCTCAACATAATAGCATGGCTTTATTTCTTATACTTTGTTTTTATACTTTTCTGCTGGATGGTTAAGACCAAGATAAAGCAAGACCTATGCAACAAGAGTTGTAGCTTTTGGAATAGAATTCATTTAAGTGAGCATCGATACAGTAATCAGCCAAAACAGAGTAGGTGGGAGATGGCTCAGGTGTCAGGTCACAGGCCATTTGGGGTTCAGCTGCCTCCAGGGAGCCCGGGCCCCTGGCAGCCCCATTCCTATGGAGAGCTGCATCCCTTTTGTAGCTCAACACAAAGGCCCTGGGTTCAATCCCCGGACTCGTCCTACAAAGAAAGATTTCAGCTCTCCGTAATTTACCCATGATTACGCATGCCTTGGTTTTTACACTTCTAGCCCGTAAGACTGTGGCTCTGTGTTGCTCAAGCCATGTGGATCGGGGGTGTCTTCGGACAAATGGCTACAAAACTGCAAGATTCCATCAAGTACATTTGTCTTTCTTCCAAGAATAAATTTGAAGCACTTTAAATTTTCTTTTCTCTTTCCTTCTTTTTTTTTTCAGTCTTTTTGAGGCAGGCTCTTGCTATGCAGTTCAGGCTGGCCTTGAGCTCACTTTGTAACCCAAGCTGGTCTTGAACTAACAATGAGCCTCCCGCCTCAGCCTCCTGAGTACTGGGATTATAGATTTGTGCTACCACACGCTCCAACCACCCTTTCACCCTGCCAGTTTTCCTAAGCTCAGATATGCAGGTCACTTACGCCCTGCTAGAAGCAACACAGCAATGAACAGTCCTCTGTATTTCTTTTTTTTTGTTTTGTTGTTTGCAGACAGGGTCTTTTTTAAAAAATTTTGTGTGTGTGTGTGTGTGTGTGTGTGTGTCCAGCTCAGCCCACCAGGGGGCGGGGCGGGCTGGCATGTGGTGCTGGGGGATTGAACCGTGGTCCCTGTGCTTTGCTAAGCTTGTTCCAAGTAGGTGCTTTAGACCACTGAGCTATCTCACCAGCCCTGCAGACAGGGTCTTCCTATGCAGTTACAGCAGCCTTGTGCTCACTGTGTGGCCCACGCCAGCCTCGAACTCCTGGCAATCTTCCTGCCTCAGCTTCCTGAGTGCTGGGATTGCAGGTGCACACACACACACACACACACACACACACACACACACACACACTCAGTTTGGAAGTTTTTTAATTGTGATAAAGTGTACATAACAGAAGCTACCATTTTAACCATTTGATGACATGAAGGATAGCCATAAAATTATGCAACTGCCACTCGACATTCCCGAGCGTTTTCACTACCCCAGACGCAGTCCGTGCCCATTAGCACAGCCCCCGTCGTCCCCCCTCCTGGCCCCTGGAGCTTCTGTTCTGCTGCCTGCCTCTCAGCGTGACTCCTCCACTGCCTCGTAGAGGTGGGATCAGGCAAGATGGGCACTTCTGTGTCTGGACCCTTCTCTTAGCGTGAAGTTTTCAAGCTCTATTCATGGGGGAATATATCTCAGAATCTCAATCTCTCTCTCTCTCTCTCTCTCTCTCTCTCTCTCTCTCTCTCTCTCTCTCTCTCTCTGGCGGAACCAGGGAGTGAATTCAGACCCTTGCGCTTGCTATTCCACTGAGCCATCTCCCGGTCCCCACAATCTCTTTTCTTTAAGAGGCTGAATAAAATCTTATTCTATGCCTGTATTTTATTTTGCTTGCTTATTTATATATTTTTTTATGCATTTGGTACAGGGTCACACTGCACAGCTCGGACTCTAGTGATCCTCCTGTTTTCAGCCTCCTCAGTGCTGGGATTACAGGCGTGCGCCACCGTGCCTGGTCTCTGGCCGGCCGGCTCAGCGGGCCTGGGGCTGTGGCTGGGTCGGCATGTGTGCTGGGCATCAGATCCGGTGCCTGCACTTGCCTAAGAAGGCGTTTAGGCTGCTCAGTGATGTTGCTGGCCCACTTACTCATTTATTTGCTGTTGGAAATTTAGATTATTTCTTCCTTTTGGTGAATAATGCTGCTCTGCTGCATAATGGCATACATTTTGGGTCTTTTTTTTTTTTTTTTTTTTTTTTTTTTCTGAGACAGGATCTCACTATGCAGTTCAGCCTGGCCTGGAGCTCACAGGCTGGCCTCAAACTCACAGTGATCCTCCTGCCTCAGCCTCCTGAGTGCTGGGATTGTAGGCATGTGCCGCCACACCTGGCAGGAATACATAATTTTTAAGGAGCTAATTATATTTGTATGTCTAGAGATATTTATCTCCCGCAGAGTTGCCGGCTCGCAGGGCACTTAGAACTTTATTTCCCCAGTTATTTCTAGATGGCTTAGAATGGCTGCACCTTCTACGTCCTCGAGGTAGTCGAGGTAGAAGGTGCCGTCACCCACCACCACCACATTACCCAGCTTTCTAATCTTTCCCAGTTGGATAGTATAAAAAACACTGACTTCTCTGCTTCCCAGTCTATCTCTTATACGTTTAAAGACCTTTATAGCTGGGTGTGGTGCGCAAGATCTGTAATACCAATTTGAATATGAGGCCAGCCACTACGTAATGAGTTCAGGGCCAGCTGAGCTACACAGTGAGACCCTGTCTCCAGCACACTCACACACGTACGTTCTTGTTGTTTTCCTAGACGAGGCTGTAGCTTCCCCGACTGTCTTATCTTTTGCCCTGATTTTTGACCAATTCATGGCTCGGAAACTCTTCTAAACTAAACCTTTATCAGTGCTATTACCCCAGCTCACTGTTTTCTTTCTTTTCTTTTTTTTTTTTTTTTTTGGTTACCAGGAGTTGAACTCCTGAAGCACAAGACCTTGCGCTTGCCAGGCAGGCGCTGGTGCCACGGAGCTATATCCCTGGCCCGGGGCCCAGCTCTTTTAATTGACCATTTTCAGAGTTTCTGTTTATTTCACCCTAGAGGAGCACAGGAAGAAGCCTGTGGCCTCCCTGGTCTCCTTGCAGCCTTTCTTCTCTTTCAGCCCTTGACCTCGGGAGAAATTTCCCCAGAGTCCACAGCTTCGGTCTCAGCCTCTGCAGAGGTCCTGCCGCACCCAGCCCCGCACACCACGTCCAAACACAGCAGCCCAGCAGTGGTCAGAGTCGTCTCCTTTCAGTGCAAGCAGCAGCAGCGGACCCCCCAGCAGCTCACCAAGGAGAAGATGGCACAGCCTTCCACACCCCCGGTGTCCCAGCTCTTTATACAGAATTTGACTCCCAGCTGGAGCCGGTTGAAGAACAACACACAGGAAGAGCGCTTGGTGTCAGAGCTGCTGACCAATATTCAGCTGAAGAGGAGATTGGCCCTGTTCCCGGCTCACTACAACTCACGGCTGCTGCTGAGTGCCCAGCCACACAAGTGCCCACATGTGCCAGGGAGTGGCAAGAGCCCAGGTGTGTGCGTCAGCATCCCGTGACTGTGACAATGCACCTGAGGTTGTTAGCTTATGAAGAGAAAAGATTTCCTTGGGCTCCTGGTGTGAGCAGTTGCAGGTCGGGCTGACCCAGGGCTCTGATGGGGGTGGTGGCAATGGCGGGGGGCATGCAGAGCAGATGTCTGTAGCCCATGCTCAGGGGCCAGGGTGATGGCTCAGTAGGATAAGCACTTTGCTGCCAAGTGCAGGGGTCTGAGTTCAATCCCCAGTGCCGCAAAAAAAGAAAGAGCGTAGCCCATGCTTAGGTGAGGGCATCTCTAGTCTGCCCAGGAGGACAGAAGAGCTCTAATAGCAGGCAGAGCCCTGTTAACACATCCGGGCTTCTAAGTACTGGGAAGAGAAAATGTTGGGGGTGGGGCTGGGGAGATAACTCAGTGGGGTAAGTACTTGCCTAGCAAGCACAAGGACCTGAGTTCAATCCCTAGTTCTGCCAAAAAAAAAAAAAAGAAAGAAAAGGGAAGAAAATGTTGGAGAAAAGAGAATGCCTGAGTCTCCTTCCAAGAGCTACAGCCCGGTTTATTTTTGTTATGTTTTATTTTGTTTCTGTTTTTTTGCTTGTTCGTTTGTTGCGGTACCAGGGATCAAACTCAGGACCTTGCACTGGCCAGGCAGGTGCTTTCTCCCCGGCCCTACAGCTCGGTTTCATGGCCCTGGCCAGGCAGTTGCGCACAGACCGATGCCACCATCGTCTTTTACCTTCCAGGAAGCCCCTGTCTGCCCAGAGAGGGCTGCTCTGGCACCTGCAGCTCCGCCGAGAAGAGGCAGCCGAATGGGTCCCCCCTGCTCCTCCTGGAGAGGCCCCAGAGCCACAGCGTGTCCCTCAAGGATCTCCTGGTGGTTGCCACCCCAGCCCATCTGGACCGGCGGCCGGGCAGAAGCCAGGCAGGGCTCGTGAAGCACCTGTGTGTGCAGGATCGGGACGCCTAGAGCCACTGCCTGGTCTCTGGCCACAAAGGATGTGAGGGGAACTAGGTAAGTGACCCTTGGCGTGTTTGTGGGTGACAGGTATCAGAGTCAGTGTCTCTGGAGTGCTGAGTATGCAAGAGGCGGATGGACTGACAAAGGCCCTCAGGTGAGTAGGTGACTGAGGCCTCCCTCCGGCTACACGCCCGTAATCCCAGCACTTGAGAGGCTAAGGCAGGAGGGTCAAGAGTTTGAACCCTAGGGACCAGGGAGATGGCTCAGTGGAATAAGTGCTTCCCTGGCAAGCACAAGGGCCTGAGTTCAATCCCCGGTTCCGGAAAAAAAAAAAAAGAGGCTTTAAATATGGGCTGGTGAGATGGCTCAGTGGTCTAAAGTACCTACTTAGAACAAGCTAAGCAAAGCACAGGGACCACGGTTCAATCCCCAGCACCACATGCCAGCCAGCCCCGCCCCCTGGTGGGCTGAGTTGGTCACACAAATAAATAAATAAAATTTAAAAAATAAAAAATAAAAAAGAGTTTGAACCCAGGGCTGGGGAGATAGCTTGGCGGTCTGAGTGCCTGCCTGGCAAGTACAAGAATCTGGCTTTAATTCCCAGTACTGTAGCACGCCATGCTGGCACCGGAACCCTAGTCACACCCTGCCAGCCATGGAGACCATGCCTGGTGGTGCACATCTGTAATCCCAACACTGAGAAAACTGAGACAGGAAGAGCACTATGAGTTTGGGTTCCATAGTGAGACCCTGTACCAAGTAAATAAATAAATACATTTTCTTAAGTTTAAAAAAAAAGGGCTGGCAAGATACCTCAATGGACCAAGCGCCTGCTTAGGCAAACGCGGGGACTGGGGTTGGATCCCCAGCACCCCATGCCTTCCCGGCCTCACCCCTCGAGCGTGCTGAGCTGGCCACCGAGTCTGGGTATGGTGTGCATGCCTGTAATCCTAGCTCTGTGGGGCTGAAAACAGGACAATCACTCTGAGTCCAAGCTTTGTCGTAAGACCCTGTACCAAATACATAATTTAATTTTTTTTAATATTTTAAGGAAGGGTCTACAGGTTGTTCAGGGTCTCACTACTAGATTGGACTGGTGGTGACAGGGCCAGCCAAATAACTCAGTGGATTAAATCACCTGTTTGCAGGGACCTGGGGTTTAATCCCCAGGCCTGCTATGCCGGCCCGTCCCCGGGGCGTGCTGAGACAGTGATTGAGACTGGGCATGGTGGTGTGTGCCTGTAATCCCAGCTCTTGGGAGGCTGTGAACAGGTGGATCACTACCAGTCTGATCTAGTAGTGAGACCCTGAACACCCTGTAGACCCTTCCCTAAAAAATACAACAACAACAACAACAACAAAAAGAGTTCAAACCTAGCTTGGGCTACATAGTGAGTTCAAGGTCAGCCTAAACTGCATAGTGAGACCCTATCTCAAAAAACAGAAAAATCCAAACAAACAAGGACTGAGAAAAATGGTTTAAATATAAAACCCCACAAGGACCCTACAACATAGTGATGTAGTGTGGCGTGGGGGAGATGGGTGGTGTCACATGGCTGCCATAGAAGAAGGCTTACCGTTGAGTCATTTCCCTCGCTCCTGCCACTGAAAATGAACAGGGGCCAGCACTCTGGGAGGCAGAGGCAGGAGGGTGGCAAGGTTCATCCTAGCCGGGCAATGTAACAACTTAACAAGACCCTGTCTCAAAATTATAAAAATAAAGTAGATAAATAAAAGGCCAGCAATGTAGCTCAGTTGGGAAGCCCTGGGCTCAGTCTGTAGTCTGGAGGGTCAAATGTATATTCCGAGGCCTACTGCATACATTCTGAAGCAGCAGGTCCTGCATTTATGGTTTTTATTTTATTTGTTTATTTATTTATTTTGGTCTTTTTGAGATAGGGTCTCACTGTGCAATTCAGGCTGGCCTTGAATTTACTTTGTAGCCCAGGTTGGACTCAAACTTGCAACGATTCTCCCACTTCAACCTCCTGAGTGCTGGGGCTACAGGCATGCGCAACCATGCCCAGCCTCATATTACTCTTGAGCTAAAGTTTTGAGTGTCATTGGTGGCCCATGCCTGAAGTGATTACGCTCTGGTAGCAGAGATGGGCAATGCCAAGCAGGGTCCCTCGGATCCTGTGTCACAGAAGAATAAGTATGGACAGCAGGACGCACTCTGCAGGGCTCCAGGCGTTTGTTGAACCAGAATTCTCTCTCTCTCTCTCTCTCTCTCTCTCTCTCTCTCTCTCTCGTCTCTGTCTCTCCTTTTCTTTTTTCTTACACACATCGAAGATTACATACTGTGCTGTATTAGTCACTTCCCTATCCTCGGACAAAATACCTGACACCTGCAACCTGCAGGAGGAGAGGTTCATTTTGGCTCCTGGTTCCAGAGGGTGCAGTCCATGGCGCCGAGACAGAAATCATGTGGTGGAAGGGCCTGGCGGAGGATGCTGCTCACCTCATGGTGATAGGAAGCAGGGAGGGCCAGGAGGAGCAGGGCAGCAGAAGTCACCCTTGCAGACCACACCACCAGGAACCCCCTCTTCTGGCCAGGCCCCACCTCCTAACAGCACTTTTATCAGTGAAGTGCCTCAATGGCTGAATCCACAGATGAGTAGAGTCACCCCCCCAAGCCCAGTCACCTTCCAAAACCTCCACCTCTGGATGCCTGAGGCATCTGAAGAACATTCTCGATCTAGACCATCCCATGATGCATAGCGCGTCTCATAGAATCCTCAGTCCATACGATGAGGTCAGTGAGGCGGCCGTGATGAGCTGATCCCCAGTTTGCAAATGAAAGTGAAGGTCTGAGGCCATTAAATGACTTCCTCTTCCTAGAAAGGTGACAGATCAGGACAAACGGTCTCAGTGTTTCTTGCTCTTTTCTACTCTGCCAGGAACTCAGAGCCTGCCCTGACCCACTGGCCAGATTTCCAACCAGTCCCTCCATTTGTCTGCTGAAGTCCCTAAAATCAATCTCATTTTCCTCCCTCTGGGTGCACTTGTATGGAGGATGAATCAGTGAGTCTGGGGTACAGGTCAGCAGCAGTTGAATTGTGGGGGCTAAATTAGTTCTTAGGTAAGATTTCTTTTTTATGTATTTGGTACAGGGTCTCACTCCGCAGCTGGGACTCATAGTGGTCCTCCTGTCTCAGCTGCCCCAGCGCTGGGATTACAGGTGTGTGCCACCACACCTGGTCTTGGTGGCTGGCTCAGTGCACCTAGGGGTGGAGTCAGTGCAGTGTGTGGTGCAGGGGCTCGAGCCCCAGTCTCTGGGCCTGCCTATCTTTGGTAAGATTTGAAGGATGCTTAAGCCTGGGTGACGTGATGGCTTTGATGATGAGTGATGATCATTTCCTTAGTCCTTGGGTGTTATTAGGCTATTAAGTAGCTTGTCCAGGGCACAGCTTTGCAGCTACTCCCACCGTACTGTCTGCACCCCGCCGACTGTGGCCTGCATGTAAGATGTTGAGCGGTCAGACTTCAGGGAGCTGAATATGGTGGAGACAAAATGAGTTTCTAGTGGCTGTGGAGTTACCTAGGTACCTCCAGGTCCCCAGGTAGGAATGGTAATAATGAATTTGTTGGCTCATTAACATCCTGGTGGCTATTTATATACATACATATTAATTTCCCCCAGTATCAGATTGGATCTCTGTCCTCATTCTTCCTTTCCTACCTCTGCAAGGAAGTGGTTTATCTTTTCTCACAGCGTCTGCAGTGTCTACAGAATCAACTGAAAGTTTCATTTGCTCCCTTAGAAACCCGGGTCTGATGGACAGCTCTCGGTAGCATCCCAGAAGCCAACAGTCTCCCAGTTTGACCACGGTGCTGCTGGACCGGGCATGCCTCACACACGTCCCAGCCACCTAAGCCTCAGCGCAGTTATCCCGGATGCTCTTCCAGCCGCAGCCCCATAGGGGGCGCTGTCCAAAGCCCTCAGCCTGCTGACAGCCTGGGCTGCTGCTCTTTTCATCGCTAAAGCACCGGCCGGGTGCTGGGCCCCCAGGACAGACAGTTCATCAGTTCCAAACCTCTCCCCCGCTCAGCAGCCTGAAGACCTGTGGCCTCAGCACCCAAACAGCCCCCCGCCGCCTCCCTTTCTGGCCTACCTCTGTCTCTCTCAAATAGACAGAAGACATGCAGAGGGACCCCACCTGCACATGTGTCTTCCAGCAACCTGCAGAAGCGGTATTCCTGTGTCTTGTGTACGTTAATAAAATAAACTGCCATGCTCAACACCTGGACAGGGAGAGTGAGAAGGGGAGGCGGGAAGGTGGTCCCTGGCACTGCCTTGTGGATTCTTTTTCTTTTCTTTTTTTTTTTTTTTTTGTATTTTAGGGAAGGGTCTACAGGGTGTTCAGGGCCTACTAGATCAGACCCATAGTGATCTGCCTGTTTACAGCCTCCCAAGAGCTAGGATTACAAGTGCACACCACCACACCCAGTCTCAGCTGCTGTCTCAGCATGCCCCGGGGGCAGGAATCGAACCCCGGCCCCTGCGCCTGCTTGCAGGCACTTTAATCCACTGAGCTATTTGACCGGACCATTGCCTTGTGAATTCTAATAGAATGGAGTTCTGGCCTCAAGAACGTCGGGGCTGGTGAGATGGCTCAGTGGTCTAAAGCACCTACTTCTAACAAGCTTAGCAAAGCACAGGGACCACAGTTCAATCCCCTAGCACCACATGCCAGCCCGCCCCGCCCCCTGGTGGGCTGAGCTGGCCACACACACACAAAAATAAATTTAAAAAAAAAAAAAAAACGTTGTCACTGGGGAAGTCAGGTGTGGTGTCACAGGCCTGTAATCCTAGCACACAGGGCTGAGGCAGGAAGATCACTGTAATTTTGAGAACAACCTAAACTATGTAGCAAGATCCCATCACAATAAAACAAAACAAAAGGGGTATGAGGGGTGTGTGGAACTCTTGACCCACAGCACTCCTGAGACCTTAGTTAGCCAAGGTACTGAAATGGAGAAGTTAGATTCAGCCCAGGCGCGAAGCTGTGAGACACATTGGTTTGCAAGGATTCCTGGTGTCCCTAACCTTT